GGTATACACACACACACAAGTTTCCTAGGTGGGTTCCTTTGAAGGGGACAAGTAATAGCCATTTTACAATAGTAAAGGTTGATGCTGGTCACATTTCACTGTGGCGAATAAATCTGTGGGAGGGACACTACCATCAAGAAGATTTTGGCACTAGTATTCACCCTTCCAGTGCCAGAATGGGAGGACATTTGGAGCAGGACTTCAATTAATGACCTTAGGGCATGCCTTGATACATAGGGAAGAAATGTTCCATAGGTACTCAGATCTTAAGTCATGAAAAGTTATATAACTCAAAATCAATATTTTGAACTGGACTTGGAAATGAATTAAGAGCTGGTGAAAGCAGTTTGGAACAAATATTTAATTCCACTTAAAACTTTGCCACATTTTGCACCAGCTATAGGTTCCACATTGCCTGTAAGGGGAGGCCTATGCAGAATGCATTATAAGAGGGTTACCAGAGCATGAGAAGTTATAAATTTCCAACAGAGATTGCCAGACTAAACTCATAAGAGATATTTACAAAGGTCACTTGAACCTATTATGACAGTGATGGATCTATGAGTACTGTATGTTTTAACTATGGACTTGATCCTTCAGGAATCCTTCAGAATAGAATGAATCCCATTTCTCTGGACTAAGATACCACCCAGTAGCAGTTACTATTATCTGGATTAAATCTCAATTTGTTAGCTCTCACACAGTTATTACTGTAGATGAGTACTCGTTTAACATGTCTGTGCTGAACACAATTCTAAACTCTTCCCCCCCCCCCCGCTCAATAGTTTCATGGAAAAATTTTATATAAGGGGGGAAAAATAGGGAACCCTGTGAGAATGCCACAACATCAGATAAAACATCAGGAGAATTTCCAGCAGCATCTTTTGGAAGTGCCTGTGAAATTACAAAGCCCAAACCCTGCCAGTTTCACTAAGAAGTAAGAAAAAGCTGCAGAGGTGTAGATCTTCATAAAGCTGGTAAAATATTTTCCCTTTTTCCCTTTCATAGAACAAAAAAAGTTAGAATGGCTAGGACAGCCATTCTCAAGTGTATATAATTCTATGGAAGATGGTGGGACAAATGATTGAAGAAACATAAATGTCAAAGACTAAAATTACCTCATTTCATAGTGATTTTATTTCAATTGACTACATTGTTTTACTGATTGTCTAGTTTTATGACATGTTTCTTTTCAAGTTAACTGTAATGGAATTTTTAAAAAGTATTTGCCCTCAAATCTGTTTTGGATGAGAGGTATCTTGCAATTTTGAACATTGCTATTTTGACCCCAAATGATTCATTCTTTTTCTCCCATCAAAAGTAGATTTATTTACAGTTGCCAATTACTGATTCATTTAGCTTGAAGAAAACTCCAAAATAAGGCTATTATGAATATTTTAAAAGTTAGCACATGACAAAGATCCAGAGCAAACAATGCAGTGAAAAGCTTTCAATAACATTTAAATTGCAAAGAAAACTGAGTTTAAGAACTTGTTCCTTCATTTTTGGATCTGGTTGATCTAATCCAGCTGGACAAGATTACATCAATTTTGTAATCGGAATTGGGGAGGGAACAACTCTAATCACTTTATCCTTGAATAGTGGGTGTAATCTGATATCTACAATCTCATGAATCATGAATTCAGGCTGCAGGTCTATCCTGAGATTGATTTTAAACTGCAGAACTCATGGCCACACTTTTTTTTCTTCCTAGCGTTTTCCCTTTTTCAGGATCAACTAAATGTTGATCCATTGGTTGCAACAGGAATTAATTGACCGGCTTGTCACCAGAGCCTGACGTCATGGACGGAGAGAGAGAGACTGGCCCAAAGTCACCCAGCTGCTTTCATGCCTAAGGCAGGACAAGAACTCACAGTCTCCTGGCTTCTAGCCTGGAGCCTTAATCATTAGACCAGTGTTTCTCAACCTCAGCAACTTTAAGATGTGTGGACTTCAACTCCCAGAATTTCCCAGCCAGCATACTGG